AAATTAAAGGATTGGTCATAAATTCTTTGATAAATCACCTAACTGTTGATGATCATTTCTATTCATGATGACTGTACATTGAAGGATTGGTCAAGGGTTATTCACTTTCCAAGTGGTTTTGTTTGTTTGTTTTAATGTTTTACCTTAATGCAAGTCATGCTCACTCACCTTGCTCAATATTTGTCATTAATTTCATTTTACAGTAAAGATAATTATATTTTTGAATGAATCTGTAAATATATGAATAATGTGTGTGGTTGTGTTAGGTCAGTGGTGATAGTGGTGGCTTGGTGACCTAGGTTCTATTCCCACCTTTTTTGTACATTGGGCTTCTAGCACTGTCAGTATCATTCATAACTACTAGCCTCTTTCCGTGACCTACAAGAGACTCGTTACCCTATCGACGCCATTTTGCCAAGAATCGTGGCAAAACCAATCAAATATTGAGTAAGCATTTCGCTAATGAAGATGGCGGCACCGTTGAAGTTTGAAACTTAAAAAACTATGCAAAGCACAATTTAAACATAAACTTTGAGCTAAAGGACCAGAAACTTTAAACATTTACAAAGGTAATGACTGTATTGCTGTTTTGCCCAAGGGATATCGGATATTCAAAGGAGCCATGTTTGGAAATTCAGAGTTATCTTTCCTTGGTAATAGTGCTAGACTATTTTCATCTCCATGCCCGTTTAGCACACAGGGCCCATTAAGTAAACATGGCCACGAGAGAGAAATAGGCATCCATCAGGCTTGCGAATGACCACAGTAGTTCTGAATGTGTCAGTATGTTTGTTTCAGGTGCAGTAAAAATTAAATATGTCATAATCAGGTCATCATCATCATCATCATCATCATCATCATCATCATTGGTGTATCATGCAGTAGTACACCTGACATGTATGGCATTGTTTACTAGATTTCTTTCTGAGATATCGACTCAAAACCCGTCGATTAATGACCAAATCAGTTAGTCTGTATGTGTATAGATTATAAAATTCCAATCTCGAGAGCCACAGTTTGTCATCTCAATGCTGTAAATCAACCATGCTGATCCACTAAACAGTGTTTCAAGCCCATGTGATTGTGTGATGTGAGTGGTTCATCTAGCATGGCTTCAGGAATTCCACATTGATAAAAATACACAGCTAAACTTGAAATGATCCTTGCTGAACCCTAGTTAGTGTTGCATTAATAATATCAGCTTTTCTGGAGAGGTATTGTATAGCTATAAACATAGAAGAGGGAACACATAGTTTTGTTTTTAATAGCATCATTACATTGATACACATGAAAGAGTTATTGATGTCAATTTCCTTAAAATGAGGTCTTCAACACACTTGCTTGATAACGGTGTTAGTAGCTACACCGAAATGTCGCTCATATTTATAATTAAGTAGTTGTAGATCCATAGAACTCTCCCTGTTGATCGACTTCAACACATCAAAGTATACCTACTTTCTCAGGTTAATACTTTGTGAAAATGTATGGACAAATTGGATGAGATGGCTCAATAAAGGCTTAAATCAGATTTAAAAAAAAATAGATTTGATTAAATCATAGATCTGTTAATGACTATTCAACAAAAATTCCAGTGTTTATAACTTAGGATATAGATGGCTTAGAGATATCATTATGCTATCAGCTGTTTCCAGGTTTAGTTGATATGCAACAAATTAAGTTGTGTCGTTAAAGAAAAAAATAATTAAATTTGATAGCTATTTTGAGCATTGTGATTTTCAGACTGGCCTTAAAGGAAACTATGATGTTAATTGGGTCCATGGCACATAAATGTAGAAAGGAGTTAAAACATCAAGGATGATGCTAGTTGGGTACAGGGTAGATAGGAACATTGGTTAGATAAAAATGATGCTAAGAACAGAGAAAAATTCCTGGACTACTGAGGGATGATGCTAGTTGGGTCCAGGGTAGATAAAACAAGAACAGAGAAAAAAATTCCCTGGACTACTGGGGATGATGCTAGTTGGGTCCAGGGTAGATAAAATAAGAACAGAGAAAAATTCCCTGGACTACTGAGGATGATGCTAGTTGGGTCCAGGGTAGATAAAATAAGAACAGAGAAACAATTCCCTGGACTACCTGAGGATGATGCTAGTTGGGTCCAGGGTAGATAAAACAAGAACAGAGAAAAAATTCCCTGACTACTGAGGATGATGCTAGTTGGGTCCAGGGTAGATAAAACAAGAACAGAGAAACAATTCCCTGGACTACTGAGGATGATGCTAGTTGGGTCCAGGGTAGATAAAACAAGAACAGAGAAACAATTCCCTGGACTACTGAGGATGATGATAGTTGGGTCCAGGGTAGATAAAACAAGAACAGAGAAACAATTCCTGACTACTGAGGATGATGCTAGTTGGGTCCAGGGTAGATAAAATAAGAACAGAGAAACAATTCCCTGGACTACTGAGGGATGATGCTAGTTGGGTCCAGGGTAGATAAAACTAAGAACAGAGAAACAATTCCTGGACTACTGAGGGATGATGCAGCTTAAATTGCATTCCACTAATTCATTTACTGATCTTTCAGGAGATGTTTGCAACAGGAAGTGCAAAGCGTGGTTTGTGCATTATTTTCTGGCTACATCACTGCAGCGTCCCGTTTCTGCAGCCTGGTGCAGGGCTGAATGCGGTGGGCGTACTCAGGTGAGATAACGAGCTCAGATGATATGACTTATCCCAATGCTGTTACAGGAGATGTTTGCCTCAGGTACAGCCCGAGGTGGTATCAGCCATATTTTCAGGCTACGTGGTGTCAGCCTCGATATCTCTTAGTCTGGTTCAGGACCGGACAGGGGAAGGGCCTTGAGGTAACATGGTGTGATAACTGCTAGCTTGTTGTGTAACACACTCCTTTACTTCACAAGCTGCAATAACCTATCGCACAACTGCACAAGTACCAAAGCTTTGCTTATGTCATTTAAATCAGTAGCGAGTTCTCCAAAGTTTATAGCAGCTAAGTAGATTGTAACTCCCATACTTTAATGTAGAGTTACAACTGTCGTAGCGCTACGATCCCTTCGTGGAACTTGGCCCTGATCTTTTATTCTGATATAATACCTCTCAGTGTTAGGGTCTGACCACCTCTTCTTTGCATCAGGTGAACTATCTAATCACCCATTCCATGTTTAAGCTCCTATATTTTCAGCATGTGTACAAAGGATTCCACCAAGCATGTCTGATTTCTGTTGCCTGAAAATGAACGTAAACAGACACTTCCAAATGTAATCATTAAAGCTTGTCCCATTTCATTGCTATAAGTTTTCTATCTCACCTTTTACATACCTCTTGGAAGATGTTTTGCCATGACATCTGAATGTAAAATGTAGTGCTACTTGAAAGAGCTGTATGGGTTTTTTTTCATTCAAATCAGTATTTCTGAATCGAGGTGGTAAAGAATGAAGCTAAATTATTTTAAAAACTGATTTACTCATTGACCAACTCATCCTTTAGTAAGAGTGATCAACCTAAGTCTGTTCTGGGATCTCCTCATTTAACCTTCTCTGAACTTTAAGAAGGTGTCTCTGTAAGGTATTATATCAGAGCATTTGATGATGAGAATATTGAGTTGACGCAACATATTGCTGTCCTATTTTGTGCAGACCTTTTTTCCCAGTTTTCATATTTTTTAATAACATTTCACATAGACGTGTGACATCATAACCACGATAATGGGTTCAAGGGGTTTTATTTCTGAATGAATCAGATTTTTATGTTTTGGAATTATAACTTTATATTGGAAACATTAGCTTTTAATTTTGTAGCAGGGAATAATGTATCCAAGAAATATAGAAACAACCCCATCCTTACCATCTTTCTTTGAGAGAGGGCATGTTATTAAGTTTCACCTAGGGAAGGCGCAGGGCCCAGTCGATTTTGGTGACGTTCATGTATTCTTCAAGGTCACAGCGACACATTGAATATTTCAGTTTGTAAACGTACATGTTCAACTTGTCAGCGAGAAATCTAACAAACGATTCACTGCATTTTCTTCATATTTGACACAAAGCATCATCTTGCTTTTGTTGACATTTAACTTCATCTTAAACTACAACCTTCACTTTCATTACTTTTTAAGATTGATTTGATAATTTGCAGTGGGGGATTATGTCAAGTGACAATACTTGTTTGTCTTATTTTAGATGTCAATGCTGTGGATTTTCTGTGCATTCTAGCAAATTACCTTTAATCTCCTTTGCACATCAGAGATGTCTCATCATGGTTGTAAGATTTGAACAGTAGTTGCATATTTCTGGTTACTATGTTTGCTTATACTACTTCAACCATGTTAAACTATTGTATATACAGTGGAAGCGGTGTAAACCGGCACACATCCGAACTGAAGAAATAATACGGTTTAGACAGCGTACTGGATTGTAGAACTGACACGGTTACCTACAACTAGAACTGAACCAGTTTTATCACTCTCATATACATTGTTGTATAACATGGTTCTCTCAATTTCTCTCTCAACTCACTAATTACATGTACAAGTACATATGTATACCAATATTGAACTAAGATTAAATTATATTTGTCGGCAAGCATGTAGTTTCAACGCCTGATTAGACAGTGCTGATTACTGTATAAACACATATTCGGGCGGCTCATTTCAGCTGAGATCTGGAATTGCAGAGCTTATAAATGATGATAAATGTACTAGCCACGGGCCGGGACTGAGATTGTATGTCGGTGTTGACAACTTGCGGATTGGACAGCTTCCACTGTACTGTAATCACAAAGTCCTAGCTTAGCTACTGTGACAGGTGACATGTTGAAGTAGGCTAGTTGAAGAAGACCGTTGTATAATATGTGAAACGTAGAATGGCTGGCTTGTTGCTCTTAATGACTTCAAATTACTCTAGCTTTTTTTCTATTTATTATTTTGTTGTTTTGTTTGTTGTTGTGATCAAATGGGTATGTTGATTTTGACTTAATGTTTAATGATGTTTGAACTGATTGAAGTTGTTGCCATGGTTTCAGGTAACTTCCCTTGTAGCGTGTTGTGTGGTTTTGCTGGTGATCATGGTGCTGGGGCCGTACCTGCATGCACTCCCACTGGTGAGTACGGTATTTTACCGTAGATAAGCCGAATTCATAGATAACTTACCTGTGATGGTCCGGGTTAGAATATTGATCTTCAGTAACCTATCCTTGTCGTAAGAGGCGACTAACGGGATCAGGTGGCCAGGCTGCTGACTTGGTTGACACATGTCATCAGTTCCCAGTTGCGCAGATTGAGGCTCATGTTGTTGATCAATGGATTGTCTGGTCCAGACTCAAGTATTTACAGACCGCCGCCATATAGCTGGAATATTGCTAAAAGCGGCTGAGTGCCACGTAAAACTAACTAACTCACTCACTCACTCACATGGACTTACGAAGTTAATGAATTCAGATCCAATCTGAATCAAAAACCTTGCAGACTGTGTCAAGGATCTCATGATTCTTTTTGTATAAAGGACAAATGTAGACCAGATGACATAAACAAATGAACATCATCTGTTTCAGTGCGTGCTCTCCTCCATCATCATAGTCAACCTGCGAGGGATGTTCATGAAGCTGTTCCAGCTCAGGGATCTGTGGGGGAAATCCCACTATGACTGTGTGAGTTGGCTGATGATGTGGATAGTGTCGGTCTGATGATGACTTTTTAGATGTCTCATTGTCAGTTCTTTTGTTCTTTTGTTTGAGTTGACTGTGTCTCAAAGTTGGATGGCATTGAGGTCAGTACTTCATGCCCCCGCCATGATATTGCTGGAATATCGCTAAAAGCGGCGTAAAACCATACTCACTCACTGACTTACTGTACTTCATGCTGATGTGGGGTGGTAGGGTAGCCTAGTGGTTAAAGCATTTGCTCATCGAACCAAAGGCCCGGGTTTGATTCCCCACATGGGCACAGTGTGTGAAGCCCATTTCTGGTGTCCCCCGCCATGATATTGCTGGAATATTGCTAAAGAGGTGTTAAACCAAACTCACTCACTCATGCTGACGTGTGGTGGGACAGCTTCATAGTTGACAGATTCTCTGTTATTACTGATTAATACGTTTACCCATCCAATTGCTTCAGTAAAATTCTCCTCAGGGGTAGTTTGTGTGAGTGAGTGCTTTTAGCAAAATTACAGCAATATCACAGCGGGGACACCAGAAATATATGTCACACATTGTACTCATGGGGAATTGAACCCAAGTCTTTGGCATGACGAGTGACCACTCTAACCACTATGCCACCCCTATAATGTGTGAAGATCATTTCTAGCTGGAGTAGATAGACATATGATCAAGTGAACAGTTTTGACATTTTTTTCACTTTCCAATGGTGAATTTCAAGGTAAATGCAGTGTCTCCTGATAAAGTATTGTTGTTGGAGTGCATTAAGGGGAGATAATTGTCCACTAAAGGTGATTCAAATAGCACACCAGTGTTTGAATTAAGGCTATTTTGGGTGCTATGGCATGACAAATAATGACATGAAATATTTTCACACATTTTTCAACATCCCTGCGCACTCTTATTTCACAAGAGGATTTAGCAGCGCTGTAAGTTGTGGTTTGTGCTTCAGATTGTGTGGGTGTTCACCTTCTGTGCCTCCGTGATCCTGGATGCCGACAAAGGCCTGATGATTGGATTCCTCGTGTGCACATTGATGGTGGTGGTCAGAACCCAGAGGTAAGTTGACATGTTGAAGGCAATACATATCTCAGTATTCAAGCTTTCTATGTATCCTGCCTCTATACATGTTACCTTCAATGACTGCCAACCTTTTATTGTTTTACATTGTAGAAAGTGTTATCCTAAATATTACCTATGTTATTTTCTGACTACTTTCTAAAAGGTGTTGTGTTGTCATAGCTTTTGGTTATGGAATTGTGCCAATTTACACTTGTCAGAGGGTCAACAAGATTTCCTGTTGTCAGAATTCCATTTTTGGGAAACCTCAGTGGCTGAGTGGGTTAGATTGCTGACTTTGTTTGCTGGAAGTTATGTGCTTCACTCTTATGGTTTCCAACCCTGGGCCTAGATTTTCGAAGCTCTCTTAGTGCTAAGATAGTCGTAACTGCCATACATTAACATTAACTTAAGACTATTTTAGCGCTAAGAGAGCTTTAGAAAATCTAGGCCCTGGACCTTACTGAACAAATTAAGTACCAGAGTTCGTAATTCACTAAGAAAGTGTAATCCTGAATATAGGATGATAATAATAATAATAATAATAATGTAGTTTTGTATAGTGCTAGATTCCATAAAAAACATATGCTCAAAGCGCAACACGGAATAGAATAAAATACATTATAAAAGACTGGATATTAGAGGGAAAACATCAACACTAGTGAGTCTGTGTACAGATTTGGATTCAGTCATAGTAGATGGTGAAGAGGTGAGTTTTCAGCTGTAACTTAAAATTGTCAAAGGATTTGATTCCTCTATATGTATAAGTTGTTTTTGTATTATGTATTGGGTCATATGTAGTTTGTGTTTCTTATCAGTCCGAAACCCCCTTCCACCTAAAAAAAAATGTGTGTTTTAGTTTTATCTGTTTCATCCATGTACCATCTTGTAATGCTGTGTGTGTTATGTCAGGTCAACCACTACAGCTGTTGGTACCGTCAGTTCCAGTGAGGAATACCGTTCTCTCGGGCAGTACAGAGATGTAAGTGTCTACTGGTTCTAGCTTACACAGAAAGACATTCAGCAGTGATCTTGAAGCATGCTTCTGGCATGAGTCTACATGAACAGAACTACTACTGAAATCAATTATGACATGCATATTGTTTATTAGTCCAGCTTCTTAATACATTTGACCGCCTCCGTGGTGTAGTGGTTAGATCGTCCGCCCGGAGAGCGGAAGGTCGCGGGTTCGATCCCCGACCGCGTTATACCAAAAGTCATTAAAATATGGTACTTGTTGGTCTCTGTCTGGCTCTCGACATTAATGGGTACAACAAGGACTGGTCAGCTCGGAGTCAGTATAATGTGTCTGAGTGGGGTATTCATGCTTCACTGCGGCATGGTATCTCAGTGAGCTAGCACTATAAAACCAGCTTAAGTCTGGGCTAGTACAAGCAGCCGCACATACACATACACACACGCATGCACGTCATCAAATGAGCGAAATATTCTCAAGTACGACGTAAAACCCAATTTCACCTCACCCCACCTCACCTCTTAATACATTTAGATCCATGCAGCCTCACCCTGTCACTCACAATCTCATCACAAATGCGATGTTATAGAACGGTCTTATCATGTCTTCCTTCTACAGGTCAAGGAGATGTCCGGGGTCAGAGTGATCCGCATGGACTCGCCTCTGTATTTTGCCAATGCAGACATTTTCAAGAAGAAAGTGTACAAGTTGTCGGGAGTGAATCCCTTAAAAAGGCGGAAGAAGACGAAGGAGATTGTGGTTGATAAGGAGGAGGAGGAGACAAACCATGTAGGCAACAACTACCGGGAGGTATGGCCAGGTTCATGTCTTAGGGGAGGAGGATGGTTTTCGTTGCTTTTAGCAATATTCCAGCAGTATCAAGGCGGGGGACACCAGAAATGGGCTTCACACATTGTACCCATGTGGGGAATCGAACCCGGGTCTTCGACATGATGAGCAGACACTTTAACCACTAGGCCACCCAAAGTTGATGTCTGATCTTATTGAGGTTCAGATTATTCAATTATTTCAATATTACTTGCTGGCTGCTCTTGCGATTTTCTTTTGAAGCTGCTATGAATTGGACATGTTGTGTATCCACTTCCAGGGTCACCTAGTTTACAATCCTGAAAAAAATCCCTGGGTTGAATAAGACGAGATTATGCTAGTCCTTGTACTGAGACTGAAATATGCAGAGTGAGTGAGTTTAGTTTTACGCCACACTCAGCAATATTCCAGCTATATGGTGGAAAATATGCAGAGAATAATGGCAAATATTCTTCCTTATCACAAAGCTTTTAGCACAAACTAACCCGTGAAGGTCGGACTAACTCCATGGTGTAGTGGTTAGGTCCGGGTCGAGAGCGAAGGTATTGATTCGATCCCGAGTATACCAAAAGAGCGTTAAAATATGGTACTTGTATGGCATTAACGGGTACAAGAAGGACTGAATTAACGGCCTCGGAATCAGTATAATGTGTCTGGTGGGGTATTCATGCTTCACTGCGGCATGGTATCTCAGTGGGCTAGCACTATAAAACCAGCGTAAAGTATGGGCTAATTACAAAGCAGCCCCACATCACATGCTCATGCTGTCATATGAGCAAAATATTCTCACTAGTTAAACCCAATTTCACCTCACCGTGAAGGTCCAGGTTAGAATATTGATCTTACAGACTGTTAAAATTATCCACCAACCAAATCAAACCACTTTCTCAGGTAAGGCATCTAAAGTCAGCAATCCCAACCCACAGAGGCTTCTCACAAGATGGAACCTGTGAAGGTCCAGGTTAGAATATTGGCCTTCAGTAACCCATGCTTGTCATAAAAGCGCACTAGAAGGATCAGGTGGCCAAAGACTGGCTTGGTTGACCGTTCATCGTATCCCACGCAGATCGATGCTCATGCTGTTGACCACTGGATTGTCTGAACCAGTTCTCAATTATTTAGAGACCTCCGCCATATAGGTGGAATATTGCTGGTGCAGCGTGAAAGCTAAACTCACTCACTCAATTCAGCACAAACTATAACAGATCTGTAACTGACTAACTGTTGAACTGTTCAACAGCTGAGGCGTGGGATGCTGCCACGACACGAAGCAGCCAACAATGCTGACAGTGCACCAGACACTGCCATCTACCTGTTGCCAGGCAGCAAAAAGTCTTCACTACACCATATTGTCATAGATATGACTGGCGTCACATTTCTAGATATCATGGGGGTTACAGCTATACAGCAGGTAAGAGAGAGTAAAAAGCTAGATAAATCGCTAGATAAATGGCTAGACTGAGTTATTTAAGGACTCCTGGAAATGTGAGATTTGTGCACAATGTTACAGATTAAATTTACAAATGTTTCAAGCTTTGGTACATGGTCTATATTACGTAAAGCTGTCACTTGTCAAATTCATCCCATGGAAATAAAAGTGGTTTCAGATTATTCTGTGCGCTAGTTTATACTTGTGATAAGGGATCAACCTGGTTGAAGGGAGCCAGGGATTTTATCCTCACAAATAAAAATTGTTGCAAGATAACACGTTTGAAATAGATTGTACTTAATGTAAAAAAGAACTGGTTTGGGAGTTGTAGCTGAAAATCAATCCAGTACACTCACCATATATCCCAGTAGCTTGTTATATACACCATCAATACACACTGTCCTGTATGTATGTAATTGATTGGTCAAAATGGCCACTGAGTATGGATACAACAAGCTGTTTTACTTTGCTGATTCTCATACAACATTGATTTAACACAATGCCATGTCAAATGTGGTCAGATGTAACAAAGGTTATTTTAGGTATTACACTTTCTCAGTAAATTACAGATTCTAGTAATTTTGTTTGGTTGAGTCCCTTTGCGATTAATTCCACCTTCTCCCTCCTACCCATGACAGCCTTGCTACCCAAGTTGTTAATATGCTGGCTGCCTTTCTAAGCACCTAGGGTCAGTTTCCGAGATAATCTTGTTAGCTGTGTGAAGCCCGTTCATGACTAGAATAATACTGAGTAAGTTAGTGAGTATGGTTTTGCGCCGCTTGTAGCAATATTCCAGCTGTTTCACGGCAGGGGAGACCAGAAATGGGCTTCACAAATTGGACCCATGTGGGGAATTGAACCCATATCTTTGGTAGTGACGAGAGAATGCTTTAATGACTAGGCTAACCCTACAACCCCTAATAATACTGAGAGTAGCCTAAAATCCAACAGAATCACTGTTGATCATGCCACGTGAAGATCCAGGTTAGAATTGGTCTAAAGCAACCCATGCTAAGACTGACTGACTGACTGAGTTTGGTTTTACGCCGCTTTTAGCAATATTCCAGCAACATCACGGCAGGGGACACCAGAAATGGGCTTCACACATTGCACCCATGCCATGCTAAGACGACTACTGGGATCAGAGGATCAGGCCAGCTGACTGGGTTGACACATCATGGAATCCCAATTACACAGACGATGCTCATGATATCAGTCACAGAATTATATGTACCAGACTTGATTATTTACAGACTAAAGCTGAAGTATTACTTATTGTGACATTAAGATCGTGACATTTTGACACCAAAATTACATATATCTCGTGAGACTCCATTTTGATTTATTCTTTTTCTGTTCTAGATTATAGCAGAATACAAGTCTATAAATGTTGAAGTTTTTCTATCAGAAGTGAGAGGTAAGGATCACAAGAATTGTTATCTTTTTCTGAAGAAGTTTACAAATATTTTGATCATAAGTAACTGTGATGACTGAACTTTCAGTGACAGCACTGTTTATTCTGTACATCCTGGTTTGTGGACGTGAGTTTACATTTTACCAGATGCTTAGATCAAGGTTATTCCAATATATATGCAGCTTTTATCAGAATAAAGATGAGGTAATATGACAGCGATATACAGTCCCCTCACATGAACAAACCTGATTACAAAATGTTCAAGGATATACGGACAACATGATAGTAAAATCATACATACTACCGTATATGACCGTCTATAAGCCGAATTTTGAGGACCAAAAAAAGCAGTCTGTAGAAGGGGGTCGTCTTATCCATGGGTCACGCTTTCGTCAAACTTTTTTCCAGGGGTAAGAAAACAACATCGTATCACTTCGCGTGAACAAACAACAGAAGACGACTTTGTCAGTAGAGACGTCAAATTTGCAATTAAACATCACTAGACAAGATTATTTACCTTTTAAGTTATAAGTTGTTTTTGCTGGGCATTGTATTATTTGCAGGGATTAAGATTACCGTCGCGTTTGTCTCGTCGTACACAAAGCCGAAATAGCAATCAGCTGTGCACCGCGTTTCCGGCGAACAAGTTCAAACATGCACAATAATATAAGCGGGACCTATTCTGGCGCAGTCATCAGTAAAATATAATACAGAATACCATTATTTAACCCAAAGAAATATATCCTAGCATTGTGTAATTTTAGTTACAGTTTTGCTCTATAAATTAATTAAGATTACCGTGTGTATTTGAGCCGGAAATAGCAATCAGCTGTGCACACGTTTCCCGGCGAACAAGTTCAAACATGCACAATAATATAACGGGATGAATTCTGACGCAGTCGTCAGTAAAATATAATACAGAATACTATTATTTAACCCAAAGAAATATATCCTAGCATTGTGTAATTTTATTTACAGTTTTTATGTAAAATATATATAATCAACACTAAGGTTATACGGACCCTCATGAACGTGGTAAGCACATTTTGACACTGATTTTAAGGGTCAAGTTTGGGGGTCGTCTTATCCATGGGGTCGTCTTATAGACGGTCATATACGGTACATTAAAAATCTGCTTAAGGATACAAATTCCTTGATCACTATTTCAACACTCCTAACAACCCGACAATTTTTAATACACCAGGGTGCCGTTGTACAAAGCGATCTGAGCACTAATGTGATGGTAACTCCAATATCTTAACATATGACGACAATTGTAGTGCTGAGTCTGCTTGGTAAAACGGCACCCAGACCAACTAGCAGTTTCTTCTATATCGTTGATTTGACTCTGTTTCTAGAGGCCAGTCTAGGGATACTGGAGTCTACAGGCTTCATGAAGAAGTTCGGAGATCTGTTGTATCTAACGTGTGATGATGCCGTGTATCAAGCCGTGTCGTCACCAGGACCAACCAAAGATGTACTGTGATACAGGAGGACTCACCAGGGTTGAAGTGGACTCACCAGGGTACATGAGAACTCACCTGTTCCAAAGACTCACCAGAGGACACAAGATATCAATGGGGACATGGGGTCACACCAAGTTCCTCTACCAGCCAATCAGGGTGCTGTTTGTAGTTGCCATGGTAACCGTGGTTTGTAATTACCATGGTTATTACAAAGGTTCACAGAGTTCTTATTTTGGGATCACACTTCATTAGTACAAGATATATACTATGTATACAGTATTTTTAGACAATTCTAATTGGTTCCTTGTTTTATATGATTGGGCGTTGTATTCGGTCTTCGGTCTAGAGTTACCACCAGGTTGGGAGTAATGTTGCGTTAGTTCACAAACAGGAACTATTTAATTATTTTATACTCGGCGAAGTACACTCAAACACTGTTGTGTCGAACTTTCATGTGTCAAAGATATGGTTATCTTGATGAGAAAGATTTGATCCGTTCGTATGCTTTCTTTATCATTTCCCAGTTATGTCGAATGTCGGATAACTCTAGGTATAGTCCCGTCAATTTCGACTCAACAATGTTTGACTGTATTCTCAATTTCCAAACAAAACAGAAATATTTCATGTATCTTAGCAACTTCTTTTATTTTTGTTTGTTATGTTTAGCGTTATTAACTGATGTTTGTTTTGTTTTATATGAGGCTGTATGAATTCCAAGTCGAATGGCTCCAGTACAGTTCAAACAGTTTATCAATATTTAGTATTGACAGAACCTGGCCCCACAAAAAGATCTTAGTATGGCAGTGATTGCTGTTAACTTACTGTATATGAGTTATGCTAAGGTCCCTTAGTTGTGGCCTCAATTCTGTTTCTTTATTCACAACCAAAGGATGCAAAAACACTTTTTTTAAATTAAATTTTAATGTATTTTTGAATTTGGGTGTTTTCTTTACATTTATTTCAATTTGTTCAAATTTCAATGTCCATATCAAGAGTTCTGCTGGGGTAGTCAACTT